TGGTGTATGATGAGTGGTGTATGATGAGTGGTGTATGATGAGTGGTGGTTGAACAGCTGTTGAATGTCCGTAACACGGAAGTTTTGCACACTAAACTTCCTTTGAAGATGTTCACAACAGATGACCATCAACTCCTTGACCTGGTAATTAGGTGTGAGATGGTAGCTGGGTTGTGTTGCTCATCATCTCTGTCTCAAGGAACCTGGTCAGAGGAGTGACCGCATCTTGGCCAGGGAAAGACTGCATTTAGGATCAGTCTCCATAGAACCCATGGAGCAACCTCAAAAAACTATATAGGTGAGGGAATTCCATGGCGAAGAATGATCCACATTGGCATATATGTCACCCACTGGATGAGTTGAAGGGCAAGTCTTCAAGGTGACCTCTTGAATTTGTTGGGACTGTACTTCGCCGGACAGCTGCGACCGATATATGCCTATCTATCTATCTCTCTCTCTCTCTATATATATATATATGATAGTATCGGTTGACAGTTGTGACCGCTGCGTTACGTTGTTGTGATAGCCCCATTTCAGATAGAAATTACATATATAACAGAAAAAACTCTTCTGCTCTCATGGCAGACGTTCTGAAGGAAGGGTTAGGCTTGAATCAACTTAGCAAGTGGTGCACAACCGTGGTCAGTAAGTTCCCCCTGTTGGGTTAGTCCATACCGACACCCCCAGAGCTGGACCCACCAAGGGTGATAAGTACGTAAGTTTCCCTTACTTTTTGAGTGTGAGATGACTTCCACTTGCATTTTTTCCTGGAGTGAAGCTACCAGCATCCAGATCTCTCAACAGAGAGGCACCAGACAGTTGTTTCCAAACCGGGTTTGCCTGCCAAAAAAAAGATCCAAGCAGTGTGTTCGGAAACCGCACCCACCACGACTGAAAACAGACGCGTTGTTCCGCGTCCGCGAGCGGAGAAAGAGCGTCCGCGTTAGGTGGGCATTGCGGGCACTGCGACGCTGTATGTGGCAGAACGGACGCAGGTGCCGCAGAGTCTCATGGCCTTCTCCAGAGGTGTTGGGATGATCTTGGGACCTCTAGTGACTTGGAACGGAAGGGGAGTGAGGGAGTGACGGACCGTTTGATCGGTTTTTGGAGGAGAGTGGGGGAGTGGTGAGTAGTGGTGAATTTACATACCGGGTGAACAGGGTACTCTGAAATGCCGTGCATTCGCATCAATTCCTGGACCATTTTATAGTCAGGGTACCTTGCATTCTGTGGAGCGGTCACTTTTAAATTAGATCATCCTAGGTCCTAGGTCATAGTCATAGAATGTCATAGAACTTATAGAGAAGCTGATTTGGAGTGGCTTGAACATGTTGGATCTGTTAGTGAAGTGGAATGGCAATTTGTAGTAAAACACTGTGCAGAGTTCCTTTCATGTTCCTTTCACACCCTTCAAATCCTTGCTCTTCCCAAAGTTTCTTGAAACCTTTTAGACATCTTCCCACATTTCCTTTTAATAGTTCTCAATCTTCCCATAGTTCCTTGCAATTCTGTATCTTCCCAACTGTGCTTCAAAATCCTTACTTTTCCCCAAGTTCCTTGAAAAGGGGGTGTGGCAAGGGTGTGCGGCAAAGGGTGTGCGGCAAAAGGTGTGCTGTGAACAACTAACAACATTGACTCTTTGGGTTCTCACTTGTGTTGCTTTCTGTTTGATCCCCTGAGTGCAGTGTTGTGGGTGTACCCCAGTATCAAGTGTTTTAGGTTGAGACTCTTCTACCAATATTCCTCCATGAAAACCCAAAGATCGCCAGCTAAGGCTTATATACGGTTGACCCCGGATGCAGAGGCCATACACAGTAAACCCACAAATATTTGGTAAGGCTGAAAAAGCACTTGGGTGCCCTCATCCACCACCTTGCATGCATCTTTGTGATTGTGTGAGGACGGCCTCAGGCTTGACCTGGGTCACCTAGATTTCAAGACGGTCATAAGGATTTGCGGGACCCCAAAACGGTTCGCGCTCTGGGATATTTGTCCTTGGAGAGATTCAGGGGGCCTCATCTTGGTTTGATTGGCAACTATTAGAAGCTCTTCCGACAACAAGTCAAGCAACAAGGGAGTGCTGCAGCATGTCATATTCAATGCTCCAGGTTGGTAACTGAGCCGTGTGGCGACATGGCTCTTTGCAACAGGGCATTTCTTGGCATCTGAGGTGATGTCAAAGGTCTTGGGCAAGTTGAAGCTTGGAAGTGGATGGGAAAAGTGATCGTGGGACGAGTTGAGGCGAGGGGATTTAAAGGAGAAACCACACTCTGAGTGAGAGGATGGATCAAAAAGAATGCACCCCAATTCAATGCATGTTGATCATGTTAGATACGCATTCCAGGCTCCAGGTGTTGGTATATATCTATATTACTATATTATATCTATGCATTTTCAGCATGCTCGATGGAAGTTGGCATGCAGGGTTTGGGTGCACAACCAGAATCAATCAGGTGACTAGCCGATTGAATCAAAGGTCAGGGTTTTGTCATTAGGATTTTTTAAAATTCAGGTTGTTTAGATCAGGCCTTGAGCAGCAGACAAACTCCAGAGATTGCAGATGGAGGGACACCCAAACATGTCTGAACAGGCCACCTGGCCCGCAATGCAAAATTAAGCATAAACACAACTTGCTATATAACTGTATATGTTATTTTTGTTGGTCCGACACCCCAAAGCTGGTGGGAACTCAAAGGCTTTCTAAAAACTTGGCGACCTCTCCGGTCTTCCTGGGCACCGGGTGTCTCCCTTCCCTGTCGGGGCTTTGTCGAGCCGACGGAGGATCTGGAGCGGTGAGTCGCAGTATGGCTTCGGCACCGTTCTGGGTTTCAAGGCGCTTTGTATCGTTATGATCCCGCGAGCCTCGTGCCGTGAGGGGGAAGGCTCTGGCCAGTGTTGAAGCGATGTCAGAGATGATAGAGACGGGCAGGTGGGGAAGTGGCAGGGTGGGTGAAGTCCTGTCCGTTTGGATTGATGTGGGACCTGTTTTGAGGAACCGGTTTGTTGCAGTTACGCAAGGATTACCAGAAATGGAGAGGTTTAGAAACAAACTCAGTTCTCAGCAAGCAGGTGCTACGCAGTCCATACATCCCGACAAGTTTTGGTCGGACAGAATTGGAAGTACTGTACTTGCAAAGTCCTAGCTGCATAGATAGAAAGTTCAAACTCATGCCCCAAGTCATCACTTACCTAATCTATAACTCTCTCTTTCTTTCTCTCTCTCTCACATTTCAGTAGGTCCATAAGATTTCACAAGTCTGAGTCTATAAATCTTCCTTGAACTGGGTTGGGCACTGGTCATCTCCCTTCGGCCGAGGATTGGACCAAGCCTGGTCGCTTTGCTTGGCCTTCTTTGGGGTGGGCGCTGCGATGGCTGTCTTGGACTTTTGGCTTGGCATATGGAGCTTTGATGTGGGTCTTTTCGTCATGGAAACGGGGGCCATATGATGGGTGTGATCATTTGGGCGATCAAACTGGGCTTCCACTTAATCTCCCACAGCAGCCAGTATATGGGATGAAGGAGATTCTTTAGAGAACCAATGCATTCTTCAAAACTGCGCGTTAATTGAGGTCCCAGCAGCTTTTGTGTCACTGGGCCCGGGCCCTGAGCAAATCCAACTTCCGTGTTGTGAAACAAGATTCATCCTGGAAAGCATAAATTATCTTCACACAAAAGTGGTTTGGATTCGAAGCATGCTGCATGCGTGTCTATGGGGTTCTTGATGGGGCCAATGCCATGCCCTGTCACTGGCCCAGTTCCAGGTTAGCACCGGTGTTGCGGGCGACGGCAGAGAAACGTGAGGATGGGTAAGCTGGATGAATAGACAGAACTGTCCATATCATATCCGCCATGTGCCATCCTTCAGTCACTTCTGAGACTTTTTAGAAAGTGGGGGACGGAGTTTCTCATGGTCATTGGTGATGTGTCAGAACCAAAGCATCATCTCTCATCGATATCTACAGGGCACACGTGGGTCTTACCTCTGGGACACCGGTCAATTCTCATAGGGGGTGACATGGTGCAATGTGGTGGTGCAATGTGGTTCCTAAGGACTTCCGGGTTATGATGTTCATTTTGCAATTTTCATTTTGGATTAGACAAACGTAGAAGCAGTATGAAGCAGTTACGCAGACTCTGCACCTGGTATCGGTGTGAAAGACCAATGTCAAATGTCCATATGATTTTTTCTCAGCCCTGTTGTACTCAGCTTGTTCTTCTCAAGCCCTGGTTTCCGCATTTTACTATCCACCAAATCCATTCTTCTTGTTTTTGAAACTCCTGGCTTCCCTATTCTGGGACTGAACCAGGACTTTCAACCATTATGGCACCCTGACAACTGATCCTGGAATCCACTATCCACTGTCCAAGGATACCTTCAACATCATGTTGGTGGGCCGCTTATTGAAGGCGCGGAGTGGCGCTGAGCTCGCCAAGTACGACCTTTGCTATGGCACCTTTGCTTTACGCCAGAGCAGACGACGGACGACCGGGCTTGAAACGGACGATCCAGGAGGATGTTTCACGAGGAAGCAACAAAGGTAAAGGGAAAGCTTGGTATCAACTGGTGGTGAAACAACACATGATATAGAGATCAATAGTGGCAGGAAACCATTAGCCCTATAGGGCCCTTTGTTTGGTGGTGTGGGAGTGCGTTGCAGTGCATGAGCCGCTGGCGTTTCCCAAACATCAAGGTGGAAGTGAAAAGAGCCACAAGACTGCCCTCGACTGCCCTTTCGATTCCAGGTTTGGCCGATTTAGGTGGCTTTGGAAAACTACTGTATCAGGTGGGTGTTTTCTGGCCACGGCCCAGTTTTGCTTTGGAACGTGAGCTGAAAGAGTGGAAGATTCTTTTCCTTTACAACTCAATCTTTAGCTTTGATGTGGCTGCAAGACATGTTTGCCGTCTGGTTTCCCTCTTTCGCACTGGCTTTTCTGCCATCTTAGACGACTGGGAGCGAGCCATTTTTCTCGGCCGATTTGGGAGAGTCGTCCTTGGGCTTTTCTAAGCGCTGGCGGCCGTGCCTGGCTAAGTAGGGTGAGAACAATACTCTGGAGTGGAAAAGATCAGCTGGACGGTGATTGCGTTCACATTGCACATGTTGCTCAGGTAACGTTACTTGCATTCAAACAACAATAACGTTCACCTTGCCAAGGTGTGAAGGTGTAAAGTGTGAAGTGAGAAACATCGCTGGTTAGAGCAACGATTCCCACTCTCGATGGCTTTTTGCCCCCCCCACGCCCCGCATCACTCTGGGAGGGTACGTAGTCATTCATGTCCTCATGTCCATACAGTAGCTAGACTCACATGGATTGCGTGGGATGACGATAACCACTGGAACGATATCCACTGGTTCGCAAACACTTCCCAATTCTGATCCACCACTCTTGGCCTGGCCTCTACACAAGAGGCTTCAGGCTTCCAGTGACCAAAGAAGTCCCAGCAGCTGTCACTGATTTTCTCCCGTTGCTTTGTAGGGCTATTCTCCCTGTTTAACCTACAAAGCAACGCTGTTTGCAGAGCAGATGAGTCGAACTCCACAAATCTCAAAATCATGCCGTTTGTTCTTTCCGCTTTTCGTTCCATGTTCCATCCGCGTCCGGCCCAACCATCTCATCCCGAGGGATCGGTGGGATGGTGGCGCCTTATATCGCCATTTTGGTCCATCGCTATTCCTGGGACGTTTTGGCCACCGTGGATTTGCTCATGGCTGCCGTGGTGGTGCGGAGACGCGCTTGTCTGGGCCACTTGGGCGAGCGAGTGGTCGGACGCAGGGCGCCACCGTTGAAGCGGGTGTGATGGGGTGCTGAACATATAGGTAGAAAGGTGAGAGAACTGTCAATCCAGGCGAGATATGTCACTTTTTCTTGCAAGGCTGCAACTCGACTTGCAATCAGATGTTTCATTCTGGCTCTTCTTACACGCAGCCACGGCCTGGTAAACATAATTGATACACTCCCTGGAATCATCATGGACTTGGACAGCCACCTGTTTGTAGAGCAAAATGGTTTGCATATTGTCATATCAGTTTTTTCACATTGACACTTTGGTTATCTTTGGTTCAAAACCTGTTTAGTGTGATGAGGTACGTAGCACGTTATCTTTCACATAATGCAATTTTCTGTTTCCTACCCGATTAACAATCAAGGGGGGCTAACAGAGCGGGATCGAGCCGTGCCATGTGGTGTAGAGGAGAATTGTCATCCAAGAGCCATTTTCCACTTCCATGAAGATTCCAGGAGTGCACAATATGAAACATATCTTAAAACGATAGGAGGAAACGCTTCATGAGGATTGCTTCATATTATTTCATATTGTATAACTGTAAAATTCTCAACTTGAGGATAATTGAATAGTTCAGCTGAGGTTTTCACAAGCCCCAAGTCGCAAATGCCATGGAATCATTTAATTTGTTGCTGAGAAAGCAACATTTCAGTTCGTCAGCTTTTGCAAGAGTTCTCCAGTTGCCCACGGTGGGTTACCACCCCGGTTAGGGTCTTCTAAGAACATAGTGATTATGAATATGCGGAGTCCCATTCCCACAAAAGAGTCGGCGTATCATACTAGGACCTCTCACAATTGCACCTTACATGTTTTGAAATGAATTTCATGTGAATTGTTCCTTTTGAAGAGTGTTTTGCACCATGTTGCAGATATTTGAGCTCCGTCAATCCCACTGCCAACGAATCTGTTCCGACTTCAGCGAGGAAAGCCCACGGATTGGAAGCAGAAGATTCGGAACCCCGGATCCAACGGCGGTGCCAACGGCGGCACCAACGGTAGTGGCGCTACCAACGGCGAGAAGGCTGCGACCGGCCGAGGCGGCAACTCCATGGATGAGGCGATGGATTCCGCTTGATGGGTCTAAAATAGAGGAGCACCCTGGTTGATTGACAGTGTGCTAGGGTGCCAGGATCTTTATGGATTTTTGGTAGCAGATCGTCGTGGTTTGATGACCTCCTTTGTGCTGTCTCAACAAGCAAAAAGAATGGACTCAATGGATGTGATATGATGTGATCAATGCATTTTCTTTTTGCTGAAGGGGGCACTTTCAAAACGAATACTGTACATGCTAGTAAAGCTGCTAGTACTGATATTGTTTGTTGAGATCATTTTGTCTACTGCTAGTAAAGCACATAGATTGCGTAGATGGTTGCAAGTTGGCTCGCGTTTTCTGGTTCCTGGAACATTTTTCGATGAGACTGGCAAGAATGCCAATGGCATCACTGCCTGGACCTCTTCCCGGCAATGAGACAACGAGCTAATGCAAAGAGTTGGGTGTTAGTAAAAACCCAAATGGTGCAATGTGAGGAGAAGCAGTGCAGGGGGTGGGTTTTGATATACCTGTATGGCATTCTGACTTAGTTATATAATCTATTCAATATTACTGTAAGCTGTTCAATATCAAGATGTGGGCTGTCACCTGCCACTAGGCTCCATTCATACAATCCCAGGGCATTTTATTGCTACAGACCTTGCACACAGTATCGCACAAAAAGAAAGCATTTTGTGAAAAGATGCATGTCATCTTGGTGAACACTTTGGATTTTGTCTCAAAAGAAACTCTTCGCCACACCACCAATGATGAACATCTGCCCAAAAGCGAGCATGCAAGTGGAACGTACAGGAGTACAGGACTGAAAGAAAAGACCATGTCCTAAATGGTTTCGTTTCACTTTGTTTCACTTGCAGACTGGTGCCTAGCAGGGAATGAGGGAATGGGCCCCCAATTGAGATCCCTCTCAATCCAGCCACCTTTCGTCATTCCCTACTATCGTCGCACCAGCCTCGATGTCCTGTGTGTTTTCATTTCAAAAAAACAACACACACGTCCTCTATAACATAACAAGTGTATCATTTGACACTATAAAATGCCCGGCAAGTGACCCCAGTTAGTAACAAGGGCATCGCTACTAGTAACAAGGGCATTACTACAAGAAGCTACTAGTAGCAAAGGGCATTACTACAAGGAGCAAGGACGCTACTAGTAGCTCCTGGCATTACTACTAGTAGCAAGAAAGAAGCTACTAGTAGATGTCTCGAGACGTCCCGGACACGCCCAGCCGGTTCAGGTGGCCCAGCCGGTGCCGCCAAAGGTGCTGCGTGCAGGCGGTGGGGGCGGTCCCTTTTTCAGGGTGCGGCGTGCCAACGACCGGCACGACGCGACTCTTTTTCCCCACATTGATGTGTGTTTTTTTGTTTTTAGTATGGTATCCGCTCCTTCCTCCTCCTCCTCCTCCTTGCTCCTCCCCCACCAAACTGCCACCTGCCAACTGCCACCAACCAATTGCTACCAACCAATTGCCACCAACCGTGGCAGGCGCAGCACTTGGTGCACTCCAGGGGGTCGGATGTACGCCCTGACGCGGCTGGGTCTCCGCCGCTGTGCCGCTGTGATTTGCGTCGCAAGTCACAACGCCTGCCACGCAAATCACAGCGGCACAGCGGCGGAGCCCCAGCGACGCCAGGGCCGATCCGACCCCCTGGAGTGCACCAAGTGCTGTGCCTGCCACGCAAATCACAGCACCTGCCTAGGCGCAGCACTTGGTGCACTCCAGAGGGTCGGATGTAGGCCCTGGCGCGGCTGGGTCTCCGGCGCTGTGCCGTTGTGGCAGGTGCTGTGATGCGTGGCAGGCGCAGCACTTGGTGCTCTCCAGGGGTCGGATGTACGCCCTGGCGTCGCCCTGGTGCTTGTGGGTCGCCGCTGCTGTGCTAGCACTTGGTGCTCTCCAACCACCACCAACCAGCAACCACCAACCAACAGCCACCAACCACCAACCAACCACCACCAACCACCAACCACCACCAACCACCAACCACCAACCACCAACCACCTTATTGTCCGCTCCTGTGTCTGGTGAAGTTGCTAACATGTGGGGTTATCCGGTCCTATATTGTTGGAACCAATGAGTACGAACATGTGTTGCTAACTATGGTTTTTGTATGGCTTGTGTGAGGTGAAAGGCCTGAGTTAACACTGCATGATTTTGTAATGTCACCTGGCAAGGAGAGACAACATTTTGGATGTTTGGGGGTGTGGATCGGTCCAGTTCACAGTTTTGACCCACGGAGTCATAAGGCTCGTGAGAGTGGCAGATGTTATGTTTTTAGTGGGAGCGCCTGTCGGAGCACGCGACTGTTGCCACTTTTTGCACATTCTATGAGGCGTGAAAGAGAAAAGTACCCGCAGGGCCACACGGGAGAGCGTTAACATGCGTTAACTCTGCAAAGTGAAATTTGGAGGTTTTGCAATTTTTTGCACACTTTTCGTTGTCGTTGGTTGCTCAACATTATCAACGACGTATAGATGTGGGTTGGATGGGGGTTAACGACATTCGATTAAGATGAAACATAAATCTACATGCGCAGACGCGTTGGAAGATGGGGCAGTTCAAAAGACTCACAAAAGGGTCTTTTTGTACGGTGCTAAAGACACCCCCTCTGCTGCAGACACCGCAAAGTTGAACTGAACAATTTGTCAAGAACCACGGAAATGAAACAACTCACACAACACATAAAAACACTGTAAGTTGCCACTCAAAGTTCTTCTTCCCTGCTCCTACAGGCACTCCTACCATGTTGTTTGTGTCATTCACGGGGTCTTGGGCTGGGCTAAGATTTCTTGACCTGCGCCCGCTCTCCTGGTTGTAGCAAACAACCTGTGGTTGTTGTTGTAGACTTCACAAGGCGGGCATGAAATAGTAGCAAAGTAAGTCCAAAGCACGATGTGTCAGACTCAGGTTTTCTGGCTTTCCATGTTGACTGCTTGCCCGATAAAACATCATGTCATGAGAACAAACCCTAGTAATTCGAATGAACCCGACATTTGCTTTGAACGTTGCATACTGTGACTGTGACCTCTTCTTTGCACAGTATGCAACTGCTGCCCAACACTCACCCACCCCTCGCTGCATGCAAGGGCTGACCTTCGCGTTCATCTCGCAGATCGGTTCGACGAGCATCAGTGCTTGGGGTTTCGCCTATACCACCAAGAGGCGAACGGATTCCGCATGCAGACGCGCACAGACGTGAGGTTGTGCGGTGGTATTGGTTTGCCTTTGGGCCGAGAACGAAATACCTACGAATTGATCATGCCCCATGTTCCAGCATTGTTTTCATCGGTTGCTTGGTATTTGGTTTCCATACCAAACACACCCATCTTGCGTTTGTTTGCTCTGTCCTGTCTTATCGACAATCTACTGAGAGGGACGAGCAAGTACAGAATCTTTATCCAGTTTTGCCTGTATGTGCCTCTACAGCTCAAAATGCTTGACGGAGCCAGGTCCCTGAAGGATGTTTGAGAAGCCAGCCTCATGGCCATCTTAACGAGCAGGTGTCACCGTCAACGCGATGACACTATGACACTCTTCTACATTCAACACGCAAACAAACACAAGTACCAGTCATAACAACGCCTTTGAACAGCAGGAACGATTACTTGTGCCAGCCTCAAGGTCCAGAAAACTCGGTATACATCTCATGGAGGGTCCCGCTTAAACGCTTAAGACATATTCAGGTGCGAACTCCTAGTGAACAGGTGAAACGTGATCCGTAACCGTTCATCCCGGATGGGTTGCTTCAACCCACAGCCAAGACGCCTTGCTTCAATGCTGTGTCATCGACTTTGCTTACTGTACATGGTGAAATGTCTTCCTGGCCCAATCAGAGGCAATAACAAGCTATTGTAAATGAAACATCTCCTTAATACTGTTCCTTAATACTGTTTCATGTTTAGATACTCCAAACATCTCAGTCCAAATGGTCAAGCCGGTCAAGCTTCCACACCAGCACCCTGCCAGAGGCTGGGCTTCTCAGAGGAGTGGGCGGCTTTGGTCCCTTCCAGTTCCTTGGATCTCCACTGGGAGTTCTCGTTGCGTTGCGACCGAAAGGCCCACGTGGCGTGGATGTCAATTCCAAAGTGGTCCACTTTGTGATGGGTCGATTTCGTGGTCACAGTGTAGTAGCTTCTTGTTGATGCCAGGAGTCCCTAGTAGCGTCCTTGCTCCAAGTAGTAAGGCCAGGAGCCCCTAGTAGCTTCTTGTTCCTAGTGGCTCCTGGGAAGTTCTTTTCTTTTTGGGTATGGATCAGATCATACCGACTGATGCAGAAAAGGCCGACTGATGCAGTATAGAGAATTTGCCACCAGACAATGGTGAAAGACTACCATTCCACGTCATTCCACTACAAAGTGGTTGGCTTTCGAGGTTGCCAGTTGTGGTTTTCGCGGAGAACAGGTATAAAACTACTGCAATGACAGGCCGCCCCCGAGAGTCTCTCGTTTACCAGTCTCGCAGACATAACATGCGGTTTCTGATGTTTCTGACAGATTCTTCACATCAGTCACGGGTAGCAGGTCGTTATTTGTGTTTGGGATTTGTTTGGCGGGGACTGAGGCTTCTACTTAGCGAGCATGTTGCCTCGCATGGCCAACACCTGGCTGGCCAAGAGGGTTTTGGCCTCTGCCTTGGTGCATTGCAGCTTGATTTTTGTCCCTTGGACACGACGTGGTCGCTCATGCTGTCACACATTGACTTGCGTCTGGCGGAAGTGATGGGTTGTGAGGGTGGAGTGGGTTGGCCAAGATCGGGGTGACTCAACCATGGGGCTTCTCGTTCCCTGACACACTGAGGTGCTTTTGGGCAGCATCTCGGTCCTCGTGTCCTCCTGGATGCTGAGTAATGCGAGAAACTCTGCCAGTGATGCAAGCTCTGGCAGCCTGGATATTGAAGGTGTCCCCGAACTTTGTACCCAAAGTGCAGTCAGTCCCATGTTTTAAGTATATTAAATACATAATAAAGGAGAGAGATGTTTTTGATTGAGAAGGTGACAATCAATCGGGTCCACCACAAGGAGAAGTTTTTGGACGCGTTTGGGGTGGGATTGGAGCACGTGTGGTATGGTGATTCCTCTGCGGGGACATGGCTGCGGATCTCAGGCTATGTCCTCATGTTCCTCGGTATTTGGTTCATGGGCAGCTTGGCAGTGCGCACGTGGGAACAGTTGCAGGCCTGCAGGCTCAAACGCATGCGTCCCTTAATTGCACCCCCACCCTTGCGTTTTGGCATCACTGTTCTACGTTTTCAACTGTGGCTGGGACGCTCAATGAGCATCCGAGCATCCCTTGTCCGAATCCTTTCAAACCAATTATATAAGTCAAGTCGAGTCCACTTTGTTGGTGTGGAAGGTGGACCCCTGGCTATCAACCCGTGGAATACAAGTCTTGGAAAGGGACACAAAGTTCTCAAGCAAATTCATTGGCGCATCCCGGCATGAACCCGATAACTACAGCCATGTTTTTGCTTGCGTTCAAAACCAAGAAGGAGCTGGCAAAAGCAGGATCTTGGCCTAATTTGAAACTGTGGGCCATGGTGATCTCAAAGATGCCTGTTTGTTCCACAATTCGCTGCTCGCCGAAAGCGTTCGCCGAACGCGTTAAGGTACTGGCTATGCAAACCACTACTCCATGCTTTTGGTCTCCATGACGCAACACGGTGAGTTGACCTCCCAGCAAAGCGGAATGCCCCTTGGCCCGAAGCGCTGTAATGACTGTGAACAGCGCTGCCAATGAATGGTAATTAGGACTCCACCCAAAACAGTGATGATAATCCTCCATATTGATTTATACAACATATATACTATGCTGACGTATTCTGACCTCTTCACAACTTTCGTGTTTTCAACATTTCAGTCGTCTGACGTTTTTTACATTCGCCCACGGAATTGCACGGAATCCGACGAGACTTTCTGAGTGTAGATTTCTGGGTGACCTTGGAATTGTCCACCTCCGACAGTTCAATCGGACAAGGATACTTACAGTTTTTGTTGATGGGGGCTTCGAAGTGATTATTGGCTGGTGCTTCGTCTCGTTATATGATATTATGTTTTGATGGGAGTTTGATAAATAGTCTTCTTCAATGGTCAAGCCCATGCTCGTGCCCATCGTTCAAAGCTCAGCACTGGACGACGCGGGGTAGTTCACCGTGTCCCCGCACTTCCAAAAAGCCATAAAACGGATTTCAATTCTTACCCCCTTCAAGACCCCTTGCTGCAGGGTGATTTTGTACAATGTACAGTAGTTAGGTGATAACGCTCACCATCATAGTGTTGTAATTGGCAATTATTTAAACTGCTACTTGAGCACTTGACCCGGTTTTCCCAAAGTTGTTGGATTGATATTTTCACAGGAGAAGGGGGAAATCATGAACTGCAGCCCAGAGACAAGCGCACCAAAGCCATGATAGGTGAACAAAAACGAGGTAGGTTTGGGTGCATGTGCAGCTGTTGTTCAGGCAAGCACCGCGCACAGTTATGTGCAGAAATTGTAAAGACACTTTTACACAAGCCGACACCACTGCTTAGTTCACTGAATTTATGCCTGAAGAATCGAACCCAAAGTGCGTCACCCTTTCGATTGGTCGAACGCGTTGTGTGAGACATATCCGACCAAATATATACATCAAAGGCTTTGTGTTGGATGGATTCCTCCCTCCCCAACATTCATCTTCAAACCTCAGAGGTTGGTTTTGGCACTTCCAGCCCTGGTGTCGACCCCAATGGGTCCTTTCTGTGGCTGACTTTCCATACCAGAAAGACAAGATATCTCCGACCCGTTTTACTTCGACGGAGATATCTCGTTTTCTGTGACGCAGTGCATTTACTCCGGCTTTCCCTCATGGTAGCAAGGACGCTACATGATGCTACTAGGGGCTCCTGGCCTTACTACTAGGAGCAAGGACGCTACTTTTTTAGGACGAAACGACGGTTCGGTTCGGTGTGAGGCTCCAAGTCCCGGTGTCGTCGCAGGTTCGGTTCTTCGACGTGTTTTGGCATCACCATGGGCCTCTGGTTGGCCGGTTTCGTGGACCTGGCTCACGTGGATGCTCGGATTTAGATCTCGAGAGATCTGGGTAAGCTCCGCTGGTAGGCTTCGCTTTAACCAGGTTTCTCATGAGTCCAATTTCTCAACTAAACCAAGCAGAAAACCGCTTGTTCCAGCGGCGCAGTGCCCAGACATTCAATTCTTCCGTTGCGTGAGTGCATGGGTCGGTAAGTAGTATGTATGTGATTTTTTGAGTGAGTGACCGGAAAATCAGTGAAGCAGAGAGTGAGTTCAGGGAATGGGTAAGTGAGTGGCGCAGATGGTTCACGCTCACGTCAGCGGAGACAAGCAACCCCTCAAGCTGGGGCAGCCCCGACCAAAGCAAATACTTCAATCCAGAGGGGTGGAACCTAGACATTCAACCCTCCCATATGCACAACCTTTTGAAAACATGGGTATGAATTTGTCAAGTTGACAGCCTGAGCAGTGTCAAGCGGTAAAACATATACACAAGTCCGGTCGGCTGCAGACTCCTGCAAGGACGATTACTTGAAAGTATTGCGTGTTAGTTTATTGATTGGTCACCACTGCGCATGGAGCTTGTGGAAGAGATGTTTCCACAAACCGGTGTAGTGCCCTTCCATTCGTTTTTGCACTCAATCCACATAATTAATCCAATTTGTTTAAAGCCCGTGGCCTTGCCTCCTTACTAAATTAAGTAGGCGCCTACTTATATATATATATATTATATAGTTATGTAAGGGAATCAGCTCCTTCTCCGGGGTGATCTTCGTCCGAGGGGATGGGACGCTTGAGTCAGATCATTTTCCAAATCTGCGGGGGATATAGGGTCATGATGGGTCATGTGAATGCGGGTGGTCTCACCATTGGAAGTTAAGTCAGAGTCTCAGTCAAAGTCTCAGACTAAACACAATTAGCGACCCAACGTAGATAGTACATGTTTGATGTCGTTTCTATCGATTTGCGGACCCTCCAAAGAGTATCGATCCGCTCATGAACCTGTGTTTGGAGTCACTACCTTTCCCCGTGCGACGTGGGAGCTCCTCCTCCGGGATCATCTCCAAGTGAGCTCTGCGCCCCTAATAGCTTCTTGTTCCTAGCAAACATTGTTAATGTTCGATCCTGATTAGTAAAGGGGGGTCCCCCCCCCCTCAAACAATTAGGGGTTCCTCTATAATAAACTACCACCAAAACAATTCTGGATTCCTGTGAGGATTCCTTTTGTAATTGATTGTAGTATTCAGCTTCCTTTCTCAGGTGCTTTGTAATTGTTCTCAACAATCCTTTTGCTTTGCAGCCTCAGAACTTCAACTCAAGAGAAGCCCCAAGCTCTCAGCTTCTTCCTCAGCTTCCATGGCTTCCTTCTCAGGAGCTAAGTAAAGGGAGATTGCATGCGCATTTTTTCCAGTGGAAAAACTTTTCACAATTGAGAACCCAAAAACAAACCTTATTATTGAG